TAAAAAAAAAAGTTGTGCTAATGGGATTATTAGCATAGGATTTTGTTTGTCATTTTCATCATGTATTTTCAGCTCCCTGGAAGGCTTGCTGAGTTTCATCAGTAGTTGTTCAAATGCGCACATGGAACACTAGAGGGCAATGTCGGCTAACAAAACAGAAACCATGCTCCTGGCCCTGCCCAGCTCTGATAGTGTTGGAAAGTCTTCTCACACTCCAGCAGTTGCATTGAAAATAACAAAGTTGGATTAGGCTGTCAGTGTGGGGATGAGGAGAGAAAGGAGGTAAGGGAGGGGAAATTTTTTAACTTATTTTTTTACATATTTTTATTGTTTTATGACACAGTTTAGTAGGCACTGGGGTCTCTCCTTTCCCTCCTCAAGACCCCTTCCCTCCGCTCTGTTCTCCCCTCAGTCTCACAATGGGTGTCTTTCATGAATTTTCACAAGTCCACCATGCTGCCACTGAGGTGTCTCCCAACAATATAGGAGATTGTCAATCATTTTGTTGTGAGTCCCTCCTTGTAGCGCATGCATGAAGACTTACTTCTCTGTTTCCACCTATGAACATATTAATTTCTGCTGTCTTTCTATAATGTATCCCCTTGAGTACAGTCCACTACGGGGAGAAAAAAAATGGTGAACCTTCAATCACATGAAGTTAATGAACATGAAAGGTATCAATGTGACATGAGAATGGTGAAAAAGAGTGTCTAGCATTCTCACGTAGGAATAAACGCCAGCATGTGTCCCAAGACAATAATGAAGGTACGATGAGGACTAGATCCTCGTTACTTATGGACAGTAGCAATAACAGTGGTAAAAGGGACATTAGCAATCTCAGGTGATCGCAAGCAATTGTTTCTTTATGATATTAAAATATTTTAACAGCGCAAGGTCATATATAATACAAATAACAAGAAAGCCAAATTTAAACATAAATCACAGTAAATTCTTAGATTTGACATCATATTTCATATATTAGAGCAGCATGACATCCTACCTTTTTGGGATTCCATTTCCCATGACATAGTCTCTAGCTTGCCCCTTTTGGCCACAACAATTGTATTTCATTACTGTAACACTGATATATCCATAGAGTAGATAACCATTTCTTTACCCAGTTTCCTCTGTTAATGGGCATTTAGTTGCTTTCAATGGTTTATGATTATTATTTCTGCAATGAACATTGGTGCATGTGCTTCCCATACATCTTTTTAGATACATCCTAATATAGTACTGCTGGATCATATGATAGTGTTTTTTAAGTACCAGAAATTACTCTATCTGAAATTTCCATATGATTGTACCAGCCTGCAAACCCACCAGCAGTGGAGTAGAGCTCCTTCCCCTCACCTCCTCCTGCATCCTCTCCAACAGGTGTTGTTGGTAGTTTTCTGACTGTAGACCATTCTCCAGGCATTAAGTGGAACCTCAGTGTTGTCTTTATTTGAATTTCCCTTATTGCCAGGGAGCAGGAGCATGTTTTCATATGCCTGTTAGCCATTTGGATTTGCTCCTTTGCAAAGTGTCTGCCTGTTTCTCATGCCCATTTCTTGACTGGTTTGTTTGTTTTGATGTTATAGTTGTTCTGGAATTCTTTGTATATTCTGAAAATACAACCTTTGTCTCCTGTGTAGTGTGCTAAAATCTTCTCCTATTCTGTTGGTTGCCCTTTTTTTTTTCACTTTGTTAATTGCTTCCTTTGCTGTGCAGAAGCTTATCATCTTTTTTTTTAAGGATTTATTTTTATTATGTTTTTTATTGAAACATATATACAAAGAAACAAGAGAAATCTTCCTCTATGAATCACTCCTAAGTGAGCGCAAAAGCAATGCTAATCCGATCCGAAGCCAGGAACTTCTTCCGGTCTCCCACTAGGTGCATCCCTAAGCTTTGGCCGCCTCGACTGCTTTCCAGGGCCACAGGCAGGGAGCTGGAAGGGAAGCGGGGCTGCTGGGATAGAACCAGTGGCCATATGGGATCCCGGGCGTGCAAGGCGAGGACCTTAACCACTTGCGCCATCGCGCCGGGCCCGAAGCTTATCATCTTAATGTAGTCTCATTTGTTTATTTTGGTCTTGACATCCTTTGCTTTGAATGATTTTTCCAGGAAGTCAGTGCCTACACCTGTGTCTTGCAGGGTGTTTCCAACTTTTTCTTCTAGAAGTGTAATGGTGTAGGTTTAGATTTTTTATCCATTTAGATTTGATCTTTGTGTATGTGAAAGGTGTGGGTCTAGCTGCTTCTTCAGGCTATTAACCAGTTGTCCCAACTGCATTTATTGAAGAGACCTTCCTTTTTCCCTGGATTGTTTTCTTGTTGAAGATTAGGTGGCTGTGCATGTATGGTTTCCCTTCTGGGAAATTTTAAAACCCCAGTATTGAATAAAGATAGCATCAGGGAACAGAAAGAAAATATTTGGATTCCCTAACTGGGTCTGGGCTGTAGACTACAGGGAAGAAGGCCAATATGCCCTGAAGGAAGGGAAGGGAAGAATTCCAGCTATGGCTCTCTTTTGGGATACATTTTTTGAGATCTCCGTTTATTTATTAGCAAAAGAGATGCTTAGAATCAGATGGTCATCAAGGTCCTATCTGGTGCTTAAGTGCCTCAGGTCTTTGATGGTGACAGCCAGAACAAAGGTAGAAGTGGGCACCTCAGTGGAAAGAAGTAAGGATGACAGTGCATGCATGGTTCCATGTGTTCCATGCATAGGTGTGTGTATATATATGAACAATGTTTTTTCAATGTTCATTCTCTCAGAACTAGAAGGAAAAGTAAGCTCATCCATCTAGAAAAAAAGGAAAAGTGTTAGACTAAACAATTTGCCTTACCATTAACCTGAAGTGCATGGGAATATGTGTCTTACACTAAAGTTTTCTTTATTTCTGACCATGTCTTTGCTACCATCCACATAGGAGTAACTCCTACATGTATCTCCCAATACCAGATGCTCCTCTAGAAATTCAGATTCACATTTCTAAATCTATAGGATGCATCTCTCCAAACAGACCAACAACTCCTCAAGTCAACATCTTCCTGAGCTTCAGAGCATCCAGCTAGGAAAGCAAGTAATGGGGGCACAGGATGGGCTCCAGATCACAAAAGGTTCCATTACCACAATGAGGACAGTGATTGATACTGAACACCACACCACGCCGGAACACCCTGACAAGCACAGCATCTATCAGCTTGGGGTGCATATGGGCCAGCTGTCCCCTGATAGAGAGTACCTCTGAATCCTTGAAATTCTCCACTTGGTTAAGACACAGTGCAGTCATGCTAGAGGTCCTCCTGGATGGAAATAGAGCAGGTGAATAGGTCTTGAGCTGGGCACAGCAGCTCTGAACCTGAAGGATGGGACTCAACTGAGGGTCCAGCAGCCCACCCTCATCTAAGTGCAGGTTTCAGAGGGTGGCAGCAGTTCTTTGCAGCAAAACACAGAGGGGCTCAGCACTTGTATTGCTCTGATGGGTGAGTGACCCAGGTCCTTCCCTGATTGGTGCTGGGCTTTGTTCATCAGGTCTGCATCTGCAAGCAGGTAGTTTATGATTGAGCACCTGCTCTAGGCAGCCTTGCAGGAAAGAGATGGAGAACAGAGCTCCTGCAGGTGTTAAATCCTGAAGCACTGAGAGATGAATAGGTGCTCACGCCTCTGCTCCTCCTGCAGGATGCAGCAAGCCAGAGTGTGACAAGGCAGGGCTGAGCACATTACTCACCTGGCCAATGTGGGCTGAGTTTCCCACGTGGGCAGTTTGTGAGCACCAGCAGCCTCACATCCAAGGTATTGTTATGAGTATCCATGGACTTCTCGGGGATCCTCAGATTCTTACAGCACCGGTACATCAGGAACCCTTCTCTAGGCTGAGCTTCCCAGACAGGAGGTGAGCAATCCCTCCTGGTGTCTTCCTTGGGCACCTCCAGGGGAGCCAAGGGCTGATTCACATCCCCATCCTGGAACCATACACTCTTCGTTTCTTTCTTGTGTGCTGGTCCTCTCTGGGTTCCATCAGCGGGCACACACCTGCCTGGGTTCCAGTCCAAAGGTCCTCATGAGCTTGAGAAAGCCCAGCAAGGGCAGTGTCCACTGCCTGAAGGAGATGCACATAGGGCACGTGACACTACCTTCTTGCATTTCTGGCAAAGGTTGCTGAGAGGTCCCGGCATGGTAGCCTAGCGGCTAAAGTCCTCGCCTTACACACAGGGATCTTATGTGGAGCCGGTTCTAATCCCGACAGCCCTGCTTCCCATATAGCTCCCTGCTGTGGCTTGGGAAAGCAGGTGAGGATAGCCCAAAGCCGTGGGACTCTGTACCCATATTGGAGGCCCAGAAGAGGCTCCAGGCCCCTGGCTTTGGATTCGCTCAGCTCTGGCCCTTGCGGCCACTTGGGGAGTGAATCACCGGACAGAAGATCCTCCTCTCTGTCTCTCCTCCTCTTTGTATATCTAACTTTCCAATAACAATAAATAAATCTTTTAAAAAAAAAAAAAAGCTGCTGAGAGCAGTGACAGGAAACTCCATGGGCTGCTGCCATTGCCGAGTTCTGTCTCACCCAACCTCTGGGAGCAAGGGGCCATCTGGTGGCCCCTGTAAGCGCATCCTGATGAATCCGCTTGAGAAGGAACCCTTGAGGTCTTCTGTACAATCTGGTCCCGCTCAGACTGGTCATGTGATGTGTCAGGTGTCCTAATTCTGCAGTCACCCATTTCCATGCCAATCTGAAAGCAACCACCAAAATGAGCTTTCCTATTAAGCCTGCACTTTGCCATGTGTCTTTCATACTTAGGTCTGGATGGAAAGAACCACATGCTGACTCTGCAAGTTCCTGAAGCATGCCTATTCATTCCCAGGCCAAGTCTCACCAGATCCTGGGGACTACCAGTGAGGTTGGCCAGGGAGTATAGATGGGAGCTGTTCTGAAGGGATGGGAGAGAAGGGGAGAAGATGGGAGGAACGGGGGAAGCAGATCCCTGGAAGGTCTGCTAATCTGGCTCAGAGAGTAAAGTGTGTATGGAGTCCTTGTTGTTATCATCCAGGGTCACATCAAATCTTGGAGGAGGAGGAAGGGTGAGTCAGTCAGTTCACCTCTCGCTTCCTCAGGCTGCAGCATCTCCAGGAGCCCTCTTTGGACAGACTCTTTCCTGAAAGGCTGTTGATATCAGTACTCAATCAAATTGCCCATCCTTACGTCCCTGATATTCAAACTTAGCTCATGTCCCCAGTGAGTTGAGTAGGGCAGAATTGAAGGAGAGGGTTGGAGGATGGGTGTCGAGGGAGGAAAATCCCAATGTGAAAGCAAAAGTGATATGAGCTGTGTATGAAGAGGAATACACAAAGCCAGGAGAAGAAGACATTGCTTCCAGCTCAGGAAGCTGGCACACTGATGTGGATTTGAGCTGGACTGTATGGGATCGTAATGGTGATATAAGATGAGAAGGAGAGCTGACAGGCAGGAGAGAGAGGCCCTTCAGGTGGAGGAAACACAGAGGCAGAGGTCTGGGGTCTGGCATGGGAGAGAGAGTTCATTTTGAATGCATGGAGCACAAGACAAGGGAGCAGGATGGAGAACAGGTGGTGTGCAGGAATAGAAATCTGGAAGGGCTGGAGGAAAGAGAAGGCAAAGGAATACTGAGTATAAAGAGATATGCCAGAAGGTTTGCTAAGGACTTTGGACCTACACCCAGGGCCTTGCTTCGGATGCTTCACCATGTCTCCAAAGGGACTGTGTTCTATGAGCCAAGGGCAGCAGGGATCTTCACAGAGCACATAAACTGACATTTTACGTGCATACATGGATGTGCATGACGTCATGGCTAAGTCTATCTCTGTGAGCACATGTCTGCCTTCTGTTTTGACCCAGAAGATGGTGATGGTGCTGGAAAGTGTCAAAAATGGTGAAAGATTCATGATAGTTTATTGCAATATTGTTGTCATCAGGAGCTGGTCAGACAGGCAGAAACAAGGTGGCTTTTGTTGAAAGAGGCCTTCTTGAGGAGAAATGAGGCATTAGTGAGACATCCAGGAAGCAGAAGCAGGCAACAGGACTTCAACTTTCTCCCATCTTGCAGACATTGTGTGGAAGTCAGTTTCCTCCACTGAAAATGTGTGCTCTGTTCTAACCTTTTCTCATTGTGTTTCACATCAGTATTCATTTCACAACTATTTGGTTAGTATGACTGATAAGACATTTTCCCACTGAAAAAAAAGGAGCTTTCCTGTGTTTTCACATGATATATTACCAAGATTATTTGGTTTGGGACTCAGATTAGTGCTGTTGACAGAAACATACAAAGATAAAAATGTCCTCTGCACTGGGGCGAGGGGGTGCTAATGCATTTTAGCTGGAGGATCGTCTGAGGATTTGAACAGAACTTTTGAATAACTCCATGAAAAAATCCAGGGAAACAAGCACTACATTTGTGTCTCTCCCTCAGAATTTGAGTATTGCTGGTGGTCCAATGGGTTTGCAAAATTATGGTTTCAGAACTAAAAACATGCACATATAACACATCACTTTCATTTCCAGAATAAAATCTCAACCCTGGAACTCAAAACATCCCCAGTCAGAGTGCCTACCTTATTCCATTAGAAAGCAATGAATCATTTTTACTCCACTCACGTTTAGTTTGTCTCCCTAAAATGTTTCTCTCTTCATGATGTATTCTGTGCTGAACATTGGGCCAAATTTCCTAGTCTTTGAAACTATCACCTTTGGCTCTTGTTTGTTTGTTTGTTTTTGTTTTGTAGCATTCTGGAAGAACTCTGTAAGTTGGGAATTCCAAATATAGGCATATAAACACGTGTTCATTCCGACTAACTGAGCCTATCTTTGGGTAAAGAAGATCTCAAGGCCTTATCCTTTAACAGAACCAAAAAAAAAAAAAAAAACCCACAGTCAGATGCCATTTTTGTTTTTTTCTTCCAGTTTTTGTAAGATCCATCAAGAAAAGACCTCAGAATACTGTGTCTCAAGTGTTACAATGAAGTGTCAGCCTTATTTAAGCTCTAAACAAGACACCTTGGCCCTACAATCAATGAAAGTGAGAGGAAATCGTGTCCATGTTCCCTATCTCCCTGCCTTGAGCACTGCCTCCCTAACCCTAACCCTAACCCTACCCCTCCCTTACAGTCTCCATGACCCTGCTGCTGTTCCGGGGCATCACAGACAGAAATACACTTCATCCCCTTAACAGTCCCAAGTACAGGAGAGGCATTCTGTCTATCTTAGAGGTCAACACATTAAGGCCCAGAATGATGAGCTACTTATTTCAGAGCCCACAGTGTAAAATCAGAAGCTACATTCAAGTAGTAGCCTTTCAGAGACTGTGCACTTAACTTCCATGCTTTTCTGCATTTTACATATAGATATTACTGTTAAAAGCATGGTTGGAGGCCAGCACATTGGTGTAGCAGGCTAAATCTGTACCTGTGGTACTAGTGTCTATAGGGTAATGGTTCAAATCCCAGTGGCTCCATTTCCAATCCAGCTCACTGTTGATGACCTTGGAAGGCAGAGAAAATGACCCAAGTCCTTGGGAGATCCAGAGTAAAGGCTGTGGCTTCTGGCTTCAGAATGGCCTAGCTCTGGCTGTTGTGGCCATTCATTTGAAAAACAAACCAGAGAATGGGAAATTTCTCTCTCTCTCTCTCTCTCTCTCTCTCTCTCTCTCTCTCTCTCTGCTTCTCTGTAAGTCTGCTTTTCAAATAAAAGCTAAATAATTTTTTTTTTAATAAAACTATGGCTTTGGCTAGTAATGGAGACCTCTCCTGTATCCTTTTTTACCAAGAGGTTGAGAATCTGCAGACTCAGTCAAAACATTCCTCAGGCACACTAGTACCCTGAAGACTCTCCCTCCTTTCCTCTTTCCATCTCTCCTTTCACACACTTGCAACTCAGCTACACTTCTGTGATTAGGCTCCAACCTTCAGAGACATGGAAGGCTACAAATGCCACCCTTGCCGGGAAGGGCACTTCTCTTGCAGGTGCAGAGCCACCCATGTCTCTCCATCATAAGATGACACTCTTCTTGGGCTTCTTCTGCAACTGACAGAAGATAGTAGGAAAATAGGAAATAGGAATAGAAAAGTTTCCAAAGATTATTTTCGTTTCTTGATCTGTATAACTCACATTTCCAATTGCCCTTCTAAGGGTAGTTTTCTGCACCAAAAAAAAAAAAAAAAAAAAAGTTTGAGGTCATCCTTACAAGTGTTTGACACCCCTCTTCCTTTGGAACCAAGGGAATGACTCATCTTTAAGGATATTTAAGAGTTTTTCGACTTTCAAATCTTTGTATAATGCAACTAGGTCATTCTTAAAACCTGTGCCCTACAGAATAGCCTAATGCCATTCAGACATTTTTGATTGGGCTACAGTTTGGCAATTAGAACAGAAACACTGGAATTAATAGGAATTGAAATCCAGGGCCCTTCTTCACATCTAAATTCATGGTGTGTCTGGACCCAACACAATAACACTATCTGTTGGGTCCATAACTACTGCTTAAAACTAGCTGAAAATTGGAAAAGAAAAAAATAGTGAAGAAATGAAAATGTCCTCTGGGAGACTTTGATATCTTCTTAATTTTGTGCAAGCAGGATACAGTAACATTTTCTAAATAGCAGCTTTCTGGAAACCATTTTTTAATACCTCAGATTTGACGATATCTCATGTCTATTTGTTCTTTCTTTCTCCATGCTGCATGTACATTGGGGGTCACAGTATGGGAACAGATGGAATATATAGCAAGGGCCAACTAATTACCATTAAGGACAGGGGAGCCATTGTTTTTCTGTAACTGCCATCCATCTACCTTCATTTCTGTCACCATGGTACCTAGGTTCAATTATTGAGTGTGGCAGATAAACTATGAAACAAAACCATTTCATAGAATGCCACTGCTGAGTGCTTGAGCACTTTCATCTGAATAGCTCCTGCATCCCTTGAAACCTTTTCCATGACTTCAGTCATCAAACCGCCACTGACAAGGGAAGTAGGACTGTGGGCTTTTGTGTAAATTATTGCGTTTACAGATGATTGGAGTGAGAACTGGCGTATTTTAAATTGCATTGTGCCCATTCTTGTGGTTTCCAGAAGTAAAGAGCAAGTCTAGAGTGCACCAGAGGCTTAAGACCATGCTGCATCAGAAACTATGGTTCTTATATGCTCGGAGCATGTATAACATCTTGGGAATTTCAAAAGAGCAAGCAGCCCCACCCGCAGACTTGGAGTAACTCCTGCTGCTGCTTGGAGCAGCCATTCCCTGACAGACACTTGGATGGAATCAAACCGTATGTTCCGAACAACATAAAAGTTCTCAGATGTGACCTATTTTGTCCGGAGTGTCCCAGAAATCATGTGGAGGAACAGTAATGCAAACAGATCCAAATGATCCAGCAAGCCCATATCCAAGTATAGATCCAAAACAATTTGAAGCGTTTGTTTGCCAAGCTGTTATCTCATTTAATCAAGCACAGAAACCAATTGCTTTATCCCATTGCTGGGGAAAGGAAACTTAAGTCCATGAAAGTGAAATAACTTATTTAGGATGACAGAGGGCAGAGCCATGATTCAAAACCAACTATGACTAAAGGCCTGTGCCCATTCAGGGTTGTGACTGTGTCATCTTTGAATGCCTGTTACTCAGCAGCGGGTCGGCACCTAGTAAGTTGGGATTGCTTTGATTCATGAATATCTTTGAAAAATGCAGTTTTCTCAAGAGGATAAATAATGATCAACTATTTGTATGTAAGTATGAATAATTCTGTTAGGAGAAGAAAAAACTTTAGACAATCTCATAGTTTAAAAGAGTAATGAATGATTCATGAATCAGGCAGTACGCAGAACAAGTGGTTCAGAAAGCTCTATGCAATAGCATGAGCAGAACAGACTTTCACAAACCAAACAGGGAAGCAAGGTAGAGAAATCATCTGGTTGGCTACAACTAGACACCTGTCTCTTTTGAGCATGGTCTGTTTAGTTGGCTGACTGTGAGTGGCTGAAACCAAAGTATTTACTGCAAAAATATGATCTTCAGTTAAGTTTCCTTATTTTTAGTTACTTAACAGAATGCAGGTTTTGTTTGTTTGCTTCTTATTGGGAGCTCAGAGGAGGCTATCTCAGGCAATTGACTTCCTCAATGTAACAGCTCACTGTGATGGCTTTCGCTTTTAGCTCTTTCCTACAACAGAAAGGAATCCAGTGTGGTGCCCCAAAACTACTAACTAATCAAACTAGTCAGCTTCAAATTTTTCTTTATCATTTAATGAACTGTGATGTGATTGATAAGTCATTTAATTTGACCTCTGTCTGAATTTCCTAATCTGTCAAAAGTACATAGTAACAGAATTTACTATATAGACTTTCCTGGATTAGTTGAATTTAAATTGCATATAAAACACGGTATTTAGAAAAATATGTGTGGTGCATAGTGACAGTGAAGGAAAGAATATTGCATTTGCTTGTTTTGTGTTGGCTGTTGCCACTATTTGGGGGGATAAGAGAAGATAAGTAACTCTGAAGCATGATTTGAGCCGCTGAAAGGAAAAGACCACCGTAAGTAAACAGATGTGTTTGGATGCCAAGTAAGGACTATTACAGATGCTAAGAAGGATTCAGCAAGGGCCCAAAGGCAGCACATTTTAAATACATGTTTAAGACTGCCTCCATATTTGAGTAAAGGAAACAAAAAATATTTCTTTCGCCTTTCTTCTGCATTTCTTTCTCCTGATCTGGACTTCAGTTTGCCCATAGGTTATCTCTCCTAACGGAAAGGATTGCTGCCAGCTTTAGATGTTGGCCACAGCAAAAATGGGGAAACCATATGATTCACAATTGATTTTTAAATGACTGATTAGGTGTTTGGTCAACTGTTCTCATCCAACCCTCAGGACTTGAACCATACAACGAAAGTCAGTGACTAAACAGAAAAGGTGCCCTGGCTAGAGCAATAAGCAGCAACAGGTCTGCCAGAGTTTAATTTCCTTAAAGAGCTAAGGTGGCTTGGTATTAAGTGATGACTTTGGCTGAAAGACCTGCTTCTGGGATGGGATTCTCCACGTCACCTCTGGATGGATACTCCTGATGGAAGTAAAACCTGATTACTTATGTTTCTCTGATCTACTAGATGATAAGAGACTGATTCCCTTCTATCGTCAGTTCCAGCTAATTATCTAATCTGAGTCCACAAACCTATTTACAGATTGCTAATCAAATATAATGGGGAAAAAAGACATAAATGCATATAATTTCAATAAGCTGCGTTATGATAAAGCTTCTTCTATTACTGGGAAAATGTCCTCCACTCTGTAGGGAATTAGAGGCTCTACATTTTCCAAACAAGCCTGATCAGTGAGAAAAACTAGTGAAAGATTTTAAGACACAAAAAGAAACCAGGGGCTCCCTAAGGTGACTCGAAGGTAGGCTGCATTGCTCTTTGGCTTCAGTTCCTGCCACAAGTACTTACCGCTGTTCCAGTTCCTGCTAAACAGCAGGGTTGGGTCAGACCAGGCAGATCCTGGACCTATTCTTTCCCTGTGCTCTCAGCACTAAAAATAACAGCAACTTACTGCTACACCTGCTGCTAAGCTCTGGGTGCCTGCAATTTTTCAGATCTCCCAGTGGTGTGACCAATTCCTTCCTTATCGTGAGATATCCACGGTGGTTTCTGGTTCAGTTTTTTTTTTTTTTCCTTTTAGTAGCTACTTGATTATTATAGAGAATGCAAACACTGTATACGTGCCTTAAAAACAAAAGACTAGGGCCCGGCGCAGTGGCGCAAGTGGTTAAAGGTCCTCGCCTTGCACGCCCGGGATCCCGTATGGGCGCCGGAAGAGGCTCCTGGCTTCGGATCGGCATAGTATCGACCCATTGCGCTCACTTGGGGAGTGAATCATCGGATGGAAGATCTTCCTTTCTGTCTCTCCTCTCTGTATATCCGCCTTTCCAATGAAAAAATAATAATAAAAAAATAAATCTAAAAACAAAAGACTAAGCCATGCTCTACCTACCTTTGTAAGACCTATCATTTTTTGTTGTTGTTTTTTTTTTCTCTCTGAATAGGTTGCTTTATAGAGCCAAGAATAAATTGGAGAACATTTCCTGAGCACTTCACTTTCTATGGTGTACTTTGGTAATAATTGTCTCTAAATACAATTTGCTGGAACAGTTGCTGCTAGCTTATTGCCTTAGCAAACATGCTATTCACCCTGATGACGGTGACTGTGGATGGAGCATACCCAATGCTGGCTCTTTTCCCAGGCTTTCGCATATCTGCTCCATACTCTCTGCCTTCCAGACATGAAGGTAGAGGCTGGTTCAGGGGAACACGTCTTAAAACCTCTGCCCTGTCTTTGTACCTCATTTACCACCATGAGCCCAGAACTGCCACAGGAGAAGGTGCAGCCCCAGTTTCAGGAGGGTATGCTCACGGTGCAGGTCCACATTGGGCACTTGCCCATCTGTTATGCAGGTTGGATTTTTTTTTTCTTTTTAAGCAGAATAGCTTTAAGGACATTACAATACCTTTAGAGAATATGTACACCTAAAGGGCCATGGACAATCTCATTAACAAGAGAATCAAAGATGACCCTGACCCCCAATCCTTTAACAGAAATATATGCAAGCTTTATGTCCTTCAGAAAATGCCCTTTTTTTCTGAACATAGTTCTAATGATTCTGCTTTAATGCTCACAGCTCATACTGACACTATTTTAGTAGGAGGTTTTCCAGAAGCCTCATAGGGAAATAGGTCATAAACTCTAAGCCTATGGAAAACAGAAATGGTACTAACTACAGAGGACTTTTTCCAAAAGGATTTATTTGTAAGGCAGAGGGAAAACTGAAAAAGAATGACACACACACATATATACACAGATATCTTTCATTCACTGGCTCAGTTTGAATGGTTGCATCTTGCCAGCTGCCATTTCCTAACAAGCATACAGCCAACATTTTTCAGAAAAAAAGAAAAACTTTTCTAGTAACATAGCTATGAAGAAAAGATGTGCTGTCTTCTAATAAAATAGTAATGCTGCAAGCTCAGCGGCTCATAAAACATTTATAACCATCAACCAGTAAAGCGTAAACAAGAGATTTAAATGCTGCCGCTTGATAGGATAGAGAGATATTTGGCATAAACTTTACCCCAAAGCACATACATTGCAGTGGGATACAGGATAAGGATTCTTTCCTGGCTGCAGTGATCTATCCCATTGTTGATTAAATTCTGACATTTTTCTTTGGTAGCCTTGAATTGAAACATGAAGTATCAATAGGTGGGGAGAGAGGAAGCTGAGACCTCTGTCCATGGTAACCTGTGTTAGGACATAAATAAAGCAATGCACCTCACATACATTAAGAGGAGTGCATGCAGCACAAGCCGAGCTTTGTGATTGTGCAGCTCAGGTGTCTGCTGCATTGTGTTTCTTTCTGTACTGATCGCAGATCTAGTGCTGAGGGACATCAGGCAAGGGGAGGTGATTCTGTGTCTAGCCTGTGTACGCCTGCAAATAAGGGAGTCAGCGATAGAGAGCTACATATGCTCCTTTCCTTGGGGCAGCAGCTAACTGACTTCCCATATGGGCACCGCTTTGTGTCCTGGTTACTTCAAATTCATATCCCTGCTCGAACTCAGAGGACATCCCTCCCGAAGTGGATCTACTACACAGGATGAAAGAAGCCCGAAATCTTCCTCGGGGGATCCAAGGACGTCGGAACAACAGCCAGGAACCCAGAGTGGTCCTCAGAATCAAAAGAACAGTAAACTCCCTTCAGGACTAAGGAAAGAAACTTTCTTTTGTCCTTACTTACTTCCAACGTTGGGTCTCCACCCTCTTTGCGATGACTGTCAGGGTTGCTCCAGAACCCTCCTCCAAACACACACACACACACACAAACACACGCACATTTGAATAGACAGAGAACAACAAGGAAAGCTTGGTCAGTATAGACTCAAACATACTTTGCTAGATAGGACACAGAACAAGAACACCTCACCAAGATGCTGAAGATTTCTCTGCTCACCCCTCCTATAACGGTTATGTACCTTATATGGGGAAATGTCAATGTTGGGGCTTTTGATTGATTGGGTTTACTCTGTTGGCTCTACCTTCAAACCAGAGAAGGTCTCACCAAAAAGCCGTTGAACATATCTGGGCAATAATGTGAGGATCACAATGCTTGGTACATGCTAGCAATGAAGGAATCTCAACTGAACTTGAGCTGAGTCACGCAACACGATAAAGGAATCTACCATGGGGGGAGAGTTTTGGGAGGGGTGATGGGAATCCCAGTACATATAAAACTGTGTCATATAATAATAATAAAAAAAACTGCTTCTCCAATAAAAAAGAAAAAGAAAAACAGTGGAAAATGTTTGATTATCTGCTTCTCACGTGAAAGACCAAAATGAAGTTTTTGGCTCCTAGCTTTTACCTGGCTGTTGCAACCACCTGAGGAGTAAACCAAAAGATAGAAGATATCTCTGTCTCTCCATCTCCAACTCATGATTCATTTCACTTATTTGAAAGACAGAGTTACAGAGAGAGAGACAAACAGGCAGAAGTCTTCTTTCTACTCACTGGTTCACTTCCCAAATGGCTGCAAAGACCAGGGCTGGTCCAGGTAAAATCCAGGAGCCAAAAGCTCCATCCTGATCTCCCACATGGGTGCAGGAGCCGTAGTCCATAAGCCATCTTCCACTGCTTTCCCAGGTGCACAAGCAGAGAGCTAGATCTGAAATGAAGCAGTCAGTCCTTGAACCAGGATCTATATGTTGCCAGCCCTGCAGGCAATACATTAACTCCCTATGCCACAGGGCTGACCTCATAAATAAATCTTCAAACAAACAAAAAATTTATTTTTCTATACTCTGAAGATTTTTCAACTTTTTTTACATGCACTAAATTGCATAATCCTTTGTATTATGCTGAGGGCTTTTTTTTAATATGTTGAAATTTGGGCACATTCTTCAGATTGCTATATTATTTCTGTCCTCTCAGCAATATATCCTCTTATTTTCTGAGAGAGAGGAGAGAAATAGCCTATAACAAGGATGAAGCCAGGACCCTAGAATTCAAATACCAGTGCCCCTCATGAGTGGCTTGGACCCCAGTGCCTTCCTGAGACATTATCAATTGCCTCCCAGGGTACACATTCTCAAAATACTGAATCAGAAGTGAAAACCCAGGGATTTGAACCAGGCACTCCAGTCAATAACGGTGTGCAAGCAGTTCCAACAATAAATTAATCGCTGTGCCAGACACCATTCCCTGTTTACAAATTCCATTGCAAAGCCATTTTGATAGAGATTTCCCTTTGCTGGTGTCCCCCTTTTTGCTTTCTCATCTTCTCATTCCTTTAGCGTGGTGATACTGAACCAAGGTTCCCATTCAAGAGCCAAGCTTTGTGGGAGAAATGTGGGGCTCTGGTCCCTGCAATATTGCTATTCTGGTGTCCCTCTCAGCCAGGTGTGCTGTAGGGGTCCATCCCTGCTCAGGCACCCTAACTTCTCTCTCCTGCCCCCATCCCCAGGCAGCTGTTGCTTCTTCTTCATCACAGTCCCAAGCCTTAGCAACATCAGTTTAGTCTTTGAAACTACTTGCTTTGCTGCCTGATCCATTCAAAGCAGAGTCTCAGGTTACCAATTCTTTAGGTCCAAACAGGGTGTGACAATGCCAAAGGTGGCATGCAAACAACAGCAGCTCATGTGCCCAGCAATGCAGGCTACATACATAAAAGGTGCAAGAGAACACAGGAATCTAGGCTCACCTAGAATTAAGTCAAGTATTTTGGAGATGACATAGTTGGAGAAGTCAGTCCAGACATACAGTGACCAGCCTCCAAAGCAGTGAGCATCTATTTGTGTATTTGCACAGAATTTCTGATCAAGAGTTAGACTATCCTGTTTGACAGGGCAAAAATTGAAAACTTGGAAAAACTCAACTTTTACATTACTCACTTTACCCATTTGTAAAATGAACTATATTCTTCCTGACACTTAAATATAAAAATACAAAACTACAATAGGTCAATTGAATCTAGTGCAGGAGATACACAATAATTTGGGAAGAAATTCTAACCCAAAATACTACAGAGCAAGAAATTATCTTACAGAACATGGAGTCTATAACTTTCCTGAAGTTTAATTATCCAAATATTTCAACAAAATAGGAAATGAAATGAAGAATGGAAATTATAATATATTATATATCACATATAATATAAACTTTTAAAATATATTAAATAAGTATATAAATATATTTTGTATTAAATATATAATATATAAACATATACATATTTAAACTACGGTGTCAGGGTAGGCACTGTGGTACAGTAGTTTGTATGACATGTGGCATGTCACCTCTTGATACACCCATCGGGTCAAGTCCTGGATTCTCTACTTTCACTCTAGCTTCCTGATTAAGTTTCCAGGATGCAGTAGATGATAACTCAAATATTTGAATCACTGATAGGAATCCTACATGAAGTCCATGGCTTCCTGGCTCCTGAATCCAGTCTGATTCAACCTTGGGGAGTGACACAGAGGATGGAATTTCTCTTTCTCTCTCTTCCTCTTTCTCTCCTCCCCGCTTCCAAAGAAAACATATCTTAAAAAGGAAAGCATAACAGAATGTCTTTACATCTGTCTATTTGAACACCATTCTGTGTAAATCCATAACTATATCCTGACTGAAGTGGACCAAGATATTCTGATTTCTCAACTCCACACTTTAAAATTAGACCACTGAGCAAGTTTTGCTCACTAGGCAGCAAATTAGATCTGCTCAGTCCTGCCTCATTATGCTTTATGGAAATAGAATGGGAATAATATAAAAACAAAAAAAAATATCTAGGAAGTAGATGTGAACAGCCTTAACTGAGATTTGAAAGCTCAGCTCATACAGCAAGTCAAGAAAGAGCAAGAAAAAAAGACTATGATGGAAAGGAGAATGCTGTATGCATGTGGAGGGTGGAGTGGAAGTGTTACTGACCACAATGAAATAAAATGAATGTTTCCTGTGTTCCATTCTGAAAGTGACCAGAGCAAAGCCAGAGAACAAACAGTATGTCTAAGGATTACAAGATCATGGAGAAACACATTGTGTTTATTTCTTTTGTGGATCTACCTCTGTATCTCAAGTTGGATACATTTTCATATTTTCCTTAAAAATGCGTCTTTCTTCTCTTATGTCCTTTTCTCCAGGAATTTTCAACCCTCTGTGCACTTTTGTTGTTAGTGTTTACCCTTTACCTTGTCTGTAAATGGTGCTACACTGCCCATAGTAAATCTACAAGCAGAACATATATAAATGTATCTAATACAAAACATATTTATATAAGCATGTAGCAGAGATGACAGTGGACCAAGTCTACTAAGAGTTCCTAAGTTCCTAGGATACTTGCTCTAATATTGAGTTCCCAGTTAACTAGTTGTTCCCAAAGTAGCAGGTCTAGTTCCTGATCTCCAACAGTATGCCTATCCCTATACTACCAGCCGCTCATTCAAAGCCTGCTCCTGGGTCAGTTGGAGGTACTAATAGCACACTCCCTTGCCTATGTGTGATTGCCATCACATCTATGTTTAACTTGGCTGAAATGATCATCTGTTTAGGATCTTTGGCTTCAGTGGAGATTGGTGAAGAAGGGAATCCCTGGGATGAACATGGGGGACCTTGTGGCTAATTTATCTTATACTCATACAAGTGGCCCATACTCTGCCCTGTGGGACAGGCTGAGCTAAGGCACTGATTCTCCCTGCTGCAAAAGTCTATAACTATAAATGCTACTTTAATAATATTTCCTGTAAAACATATAGAAGACTTAAAAGGAGATAATCTATGGACTTTTGATAATGTTAGCCTTGCTTTAAAAAAAAAAAAAGTGAATGCCTGACAAAAGAGGAAGAGATAAAGACAGAGTCTGAAATACTTGTAGAGAGAAATGTGAGATTAGGAGCAAGATGTAACAGAGCTTCGGAAGTGCTCTACTTACTATGCACAGAACTACAGTCTATTGGGTAGAAATCCCAGTTCCTCTACCTATTGCAGTCATGTAACCATTTTAAGCCTCACTTCCTTTTTGGCAGAATGAGGACATTAATACTCTGTGCAGAGATTAGATGTAAAGATTGAATGCCATTTCATATACAAAGGACTTGGCTCTGTATTGAATGCATGTAGGCATTATATGGTAATTATTATTTACTCCTATAATGGTTAGATTCTCCTTCAGGTCTTCATGTTTCCAATACTCCTGGGGTCACATGTTTAAAGTCAAATGCAATGGGCAAAGTCAACATTGTTCAGCAAAACTGGCTTGTTTGTAAGAAGATCAAGATGATAGATAAACTCCCCTGTATGCTCTAGAAACACACTGAAAAAACTGTGCTGAGAGAATAGGCAGAAGTTAATCTGTATAGGACAAATTAAGATACATGATAATTTTAACTGATTTTATTTTTTTTTTTTGGATCTCTAAGAGAGAAAAAAGAAGAACATTTGAAAAAATCACCCACTAGGTATACAGCAGCATCAGAAATAAACAAATTCACTTCCTCTTTGCCACAATGCTGATTGAGGAGGTTATCTTCATTCTGACTCTACAGTTAAAGAAATGTATTTTTAAAAAAGCAAAGTCACACTTGACAGGTGCTGTGGTATAGCCTACTGAGCTGCCACTTGGGGTGCCCACACTCCATATTGGAATGTTGAATTGAATACCAGCTTTCCTGCTTCCCATTCACCATTCTTGCTAACACTCCTGGGAAAGCAGAGGATAATGGCTTAAGTATCTGGTTCGTGTAACACACACAGGAGCCCAAGTTAGAGTTACTGGCTTCTGGTTTCAGCCCTTAGTACACCCTGACTGTTCAAGGCTTTGAAGAATGAACCATCATGTGGAAAAGGAGTCTTTCTCCTCTCTCTCTCTCTCCCTCTCTCCCTCTTGCCTTTCAAATAAAGGTAATAAAATATTTGAAGAAAAATGTGGTTGCTTTAAAGGAGATAATATATTCGGAGAGACACAGAGATTTGGTGACACAGGGGATGGGATATAGGTGGGCTTCCAAGAGTAGGTATCAGGAAATCTGTGCTCAGAGTTTACCAAAGCCTCCAGATACATTGAATGTTACAGGGGACATCTCTGAATGAAGACAAGCTCAAGAGATTTTGACTGGAGAACTGAATTTATCAAATTTCGTGGAACTAAG